TTCGCTAATGTACTTACGTGTCACTCTGTGCTTAGTCATAAAGTAATAACATTTGCGTATGTTATCCGCTTCCGTGAGTTATGAAAATATTAAGGGAATGAAATTTTACAAAAACAAAAATCAAAACAAAAATAGTGAGAAGAGAAGAAGGTAGAGAGAGAAGGAAGAGATTATTTAAAATATAATTTTTGCTTTCGACTTGTTTAGAAAGTATATATGTGAAAGGGACTAACTAGTACATGCTTCCAAAAATGCCTCCATTGGGGTGAATGATATTGATGTTATGGATATGTCCAGATTCAAAACAATTTGAAGCCTCAGTTTATTTTAGTATTTTGCAGAACCAATTCGTTTCGTTCGCGAGCTAGTTATTTCCTAACTTACAACTGCCTTCAAACATGAATTCAACTGTGTGGGGCTTACTTTAATCGTAGTTGTAGTGAGCGCTCAGTCGGCAATGGCGAAACACGTACCGATTGGGCACACACTCTCACTTGTTTCCAATTGTCACCGGTCAAAAAAAAAAAAAAAATACGCAAACACATTTACAAACTACTTACTACCTTAAGCAGAGATCTCCAAAACACCTAAACATAGCTCAAATAAGTCGCTATGACTAAGCTCTTGTTTAATTTGGAAACTAACATATTCTTGCTTTTGGTTTGAGGAAATAATGGAAAAATACCTTGAATCTATACTATTCTCCGCCGCATTGAGATGTGAACCTGTGTGCACTGAGTTAGTGATCAGCGCTCTTATCTGCTCAGCTACGCGGCACCTCATACGTACACTTACTATATGAAGTTGTGACTTCCTTTAACTGGTTCGAAAGGATTACCGTAGCACTAACGAAAACGTCTGACGACTCTTTTCGTTTGGCAACGCCAAAACTCAAATTACACTGTTTCTCCATTGTGAGCTCTTACGAAGGCAGTAAATTTCAAAAGAATTTTAAAATACTTCTGGACAGAACCCTTTGAATCTGCTTAGCTCGGTCGCAAAGTATTTTTGTATAGATTCACATGTTGCTTAAAAATATATCTTGGCAGGATTCTACATCCATCAATAGTCGGATGCCAACTAATACTCAACAAAGCTTTGTTTGGCTCTGTTACCTTGGTTACTACATCTCTTTGTTAATTGAAGTCGAATTTATCTTAACATCCTTTCAAAAATTTCCAAGTTGAAAATTGTATTTCGTAACACAATCCTTCTCTCTGATAAATTTTTTTTCATTGCGTCTACCGAAAATTATTTGCTTCAAACGACTTTGCCGATGCTAAGCATAATTACTTGTTTCACAATTCCTTTCACGTTCTCTGTACGACGACGCTCGTCATTGACTTTTCGATATGTTATAAGCAAAATGAAAGCACTCTTCCGAGACAATCAATCAATATTCGCTGAATAAAGGTTGTTAGAGACTTTAACTTTGTACCTACCATCGAAAACGTTTGCAACAAACAGAAGGAAGGAGCTTCAGGCATCCATTAAACAAAAAATAGATCCTTGATCATTACCCAATACAGAGCTCATCTACGAATGTCTGTCCTGTTTACAGCATCGCTATTGTATAGCTGGGACATTTTTATGAATAAACTTATTAGTTAATAAGTAAAAAATTGTTTTAAAAAAAAGTTGAAAGAAATGCAGAAAACGTAAGTGTAAATTATTCTAATTTCCGATTATTTTAGCATCAACTTGAATAATGAAATTGTTACGCTCTGCTATATACGAGATAGGAATATAAATATTTCAAGACTTATTTGCAAACAAATTTGTTTCTCAAATAGAAATGAAAGTAAGATTTGATTATAGGATAGCTTTTACAAGGAAATTTAATGCAATTTCTTATAAAATATTCTTTCCTGATATATTTATGCGCATATGTATGTGTGTTTATGTACATAGTTATTCTAACTCTACGCGTTGTCTCTGTATCTGTGCCTTGGCAGAAGATATCTACGTCACGTTTATTATATAAAACATATTTCATATGATATTAAAATAATATATTTTTCATATTTGTCTCTGTCTTCTCCCCAACGATATACTGGCTGCCGGGGGGGAATGTTATTAAACATCTCTAGTATACCAGCTCTTTCTCTAAGAAGTCTAATAATGTCAATACAAATAAAACAAATTAAGAAATTTCGTTGGAAAATTGCAACAAACTAGAGACCGGATAAAATGTGCACGTGTACTTATGCATTTTTTATACGAGTAAGCGCAGTAGTTGGTTGGGATCTGGTCACTTTGAAGGCCATGCGTTTTACAATGTGATTGCATTTTCTTCTTGTGTTACATCTGCCAAGTGAAAGGTCACAAGCAATAAAAAATTGGAGCTCGAAATAAAAGTTAATTACAATATAATTTTCTTCTTTTTTAATGTGTTTTTTTCTTTTTGAAACGTTTGTCTCAATAACCACTTTTTTTTTTAATTAAAAGAAATTAAAAACACTGTACTCAAGACATCACTTTACTTAATGTAGTTAGGAATATATAAATTATTTTTTTTTTTTTTTATAATGACCAATCACTCAGTGGATGTCCCGTATGCGTGGCAGCGAGAAAGAAAGGGGGGGGGGGGGGGGTGGCCGCAGAGTAATAGGTGTGGCCTTTCGTTAGGCGTTATACCTTTACGGACTGAGTACGCCCAAAGCAAACTGTACCGCATTTCACATATGAACCCATGAAACCTAACATGAGAGTCACGATTCTTACGTAGTAAGCTACTCACGCGGACAACGACTTTTTCAAATAAGGCGTTATATGGTAAGTGGTCGAGAGAGCGGTATCGCACGAAGCATTTTCACCACCAATGGACAGACAAGCTTAGTTCGTTTCAGAAAATTATTCTGGTTCAATTAGTATAGCAAAAGGTGGGTGGGTCTATGTTAAATTCCATCGGATGTTTTATAAACATCGTTTTAACTTAACTTGATACCCTGTACCACAACTTGTGCAACTTGTGCAGGCTATAAAAAGGATAGAGTTTGTATGCTTTCATATTTTTAGTCTAAATTCTCATTAAAAAATACTCAGTTTTATCGGAACCAAATGCCGTCAACCAAATGCAGAACCATTGCCGACCCGCTCTATATAAAAGTGAACAGATAAAACTTGAAAGATATGAAAACAAATGAATCTTAAAACGTTTAATACAAGATATTTCGTTTCGTTTTATTTTAAGCGTAATGTTGACTGACTATGAACCATAATAAATTCGTTCTTTCCAATATCCATTTCACTTTATTGACTCATGTAAAATGACATTTGAACGGTTCATCAAACTTTATAGCGAATTGATTGAAGCATATAAGGATTTTATAGTTTGCGAACGTAATGTAAACTATAACAACTTGTTCCTACGACTTTTATATGTCCTATTAAATCACATATTCGCTCTATCCTTACGCTAATAAAAGCGCATTAGTAAATTATCCTATTCTCGCATCTATGCACCGTCAGCTTTTTCCATATATATGTATCCCATCAAGTTTGTTTGCCCGTCAGAAGTAAAATTGTAAAAATCAAGAGGAATAGTTTAATAAACAATACAATCTCTGGGTTTAAAAACAGAACTCGCTTAACTATTACTGGGAGTATAAATTATGTTCGCCCGGTTCAGCAAGAGGGTGCGGAATTAGTACTTTAGGATACGCGATAAAACTGTGACTTGTTCAGTTGAAAGTGTTACCCTTAACCTATATGTTAACGTAAAGTTTGTCACAATACAGTGCCGGCAACCTTCTTCTTTAACGGACCAATTTTTATTTTCATATCACGGCCGAAACCAGAAGAGGGTCCGGTAATGTAGATAAAATCCGGTCGACTGGAGTCGAGGATACCGCGGACCGGTGGGTGCCTTCTTCCTAGTGTATAACAACTTTGACTAGGTGTAGCTTTGTTGCAAAGAGATTGAAGTTTCCGGAAACTTACTTACTAATTAATTCATAGGGTCGCCAATCCTTACGAGTGATGAACACTGGATGTACTCCAATAACCGAAGCTTAAATAAGTCTGATAGGGACAATGTTAACCCATAATGCCGATGGTAAGCACTACTGGAGATGGTCAGCTGGGCGCGGTGTTTGTTCCAATCAAACGAAATCATCTCTAAGTAATACTAAGTCCAATAGTTGATGCAATTGAGCAGTCAGAATATCGAGGGTTTGTAGTATGAAGAAATTTAGCTCCACACAGCGGAACTCGTCTAGGAACGAGATCCTACCTGGGATGTCCTACCCTCTCCGCTTACTTCTTCCCATAAACACTGGCCTCACTATATAATTATCTAGTGTTTGCCCGAAAGACGCTTCCATTCGACAGCGAAAATTACCTGAAGAGGAGGGAATGCTTTGAACAAAGTGCATTGTACGAATTTCTCCGAAAGAAACTTCAAAGTTAACCAAGAAAACCTCGACTTTTATTTGCACACCCAACCTTAATGATATCGAAAAAAAGTTTCGCTTCAAGGCAAAAGGTAGTCTTTCCTACCCGCTCTTTTCGCACGTAAAAAAGATCAAAGACTCAAGCCAAGTGAGTAAACCGTATTCATCGTATGCTTGACTTCCATCTTTGCTGACTTGCTCTTCCATTAAATTTCTTTAACGAATAGTTATTAGAAATGTTTCCAATTTGTTTTTTTTGTTTTTTTTTTTTTCTTTTGTTTGCTCTATTATCATTTCTGAAGAAGTACTTAACAATACAAAGTTGAAAGAGTGAGTGCTTCATTCATTTACTCAATAGATTTTGAGTTTTATTTGATGTAATAGAAGCAGTAAACGTTTAGGGAATTGCTGGAGAAGGCGAAAAGTGAATGAATTGGCGTTGAAAGAAAATTCAATGAAAGCGTTTCCTTTATTTCAATAAATGATTCAATTGCTTTTATGTTTTATTAAAGATAGAGAGTTTACGAGAAATTATTTCTTACTTTTTAAATAAATACAAAAAACTAACATTTTTTCTTCTTTTAATCTCTCCCATGTTTAACTCAGAGGCTTGTCATCCTTACGAGCCATTCAAATGCCCTGGAGATGGTAATTGCATATCAATACAATATCTATGTGATGGTGCTCCCGACTGTTCAGACGGTTATGATGAGGATATGAGGCTATGCACAGCGGGTAGGTATTCAGAGATGTTCTAAAGAAAACAATTAAGAATCAATAAATTTAACAAACACACATACGCAGCCGGATTAATTGATTTGAAAACCGCATATAAATTATCTTCGAAAGGTAGAAATTAATTAAACCAACAAATCACAAGGAGTATAAAAAGAAATAATTATTACTCACATAAAGCATTCAGTCTCCATTTTATGAAGAGATTAACTTCTCACGTGTTATGTATTTCACGTTTAATTTCAATTTGCAGAGACATCACTACTAATTTATTGCTACGCATTATAATTATGTCGATTGCAAGAGAATCTCTGAAACATGAATTTCTGCGCACACATCCGGCTCAGAAAAATGTATGAGCTGGAGCTGCGCTCAGTATGTGCTTTCACACACACTCGTACTTCAAACGGCTATCTACTCTTGCTGCAATAATTTGAGTTATTTCTGCTTAAATTATTAATATATGAACGAGTAGATGTCAATCGATGCATTAATGGTTATGCCCCAATTAATTTCTAACATTGTGGCTTTGCAAATCGTTCCACTACAATTTCAATACGCAAAACGATCCGCCTAACAGTGAACACAACAAGGGTGAACAAGAGATGGGCATATAGTAGACTTGTCGGATTTCCGCATCACCGTTAAGCAAATTTATAAATTTGCACACTTTATAATATTGGGTGGGCGCGGCTGATTTTCTCTATTTTTCTAGAATAGCTTTGTTGAAATTTGTATCGTATATCTATCTGCCTTAGTTTGTGAGCAAACGAGCAAAAGATATGGAAAGCAAAGTTGTTCTCAGTTTGGGTTCTATAGATGTGGTCGGGTTTGAAGAGAGAACATGTACCGTAGATACTACTCAGTTGGACAAACGGACAGATGGACAGACTAGGAATAGACTAACAGACGCCAATACTTAGGGGCATTTCGAATTTGAAACTGTCCAACAATTTATATATGTTATTGGGGTTTTGAAGCTTGCTCCCGAGCGTTATAAAGATATTGAAAAAAATTAAATCTTGATACACGAGTTTGATATTGCGCAAGCGTGATGAATATTTCCCATTTTTGTGCAGACACTACGGCATCGCCCATCGAACATACTTTCAAATTTTTGTACACTTACTCGCTGCAGTCTATGAATGGTGATATAATTTTTCTCTCCGTTTGACAAACAGAGGTTTGTTCTTAGTTTACGTGGCACTCTAGCGGCCTCCTTCGACCGATTTGGCCGATTCTCAATTTTAACTTTCATGCGAGTATTCTCAGTGTTTTTGTCACTGTTGCGGACAGAGTAATGTTTATTACTATTATTACACGTGCGGGTAGGCGGACAGAGGGGCGTGTTTAAATCGATTCAGAATTTGATGCTCATCAAGAGCTCATCTGAGCGTTGCAAACGTTTTCACAAAATCAATGTTCATCTCATTCTTAGGTGAAGGGTATGCAAAACACTCTTCAAGGCTAGTAGAGTCTTTTACATGCCATCCTTAGGATATAGTGAATCAAATCGTGTTTACTTTAAAGGAGGGCATCGCATAGGCTGTTGATATGGTTGTGCGGTATGGTAAGCCTTTATAAATATACGTAAATATATTATTATATAAAACATATTTCTGCTGCAAGCTGAACCAAAGTAAATATAATTCAAAAAGAGCAAACATGAAGAGAGAAGTCAGCAATCGTAAGAATACTAATCAATAGAACGCAATATTTTCTGTAGCTGTCAAGCTTCACTGTTTTGCTTTAGTTTTTTCCTGTAAATATGCAATAAGAGGAGAACAAGAAAACAAGAAAAATAAACATGCACACACATATGGAACACAATCAACGCGACGGCAATAAGTAAACATCTGCAACCATATGTTGCTTGCAATTTATTTGATTGCATTGGCTTAGTTGGTTCTGAGATTGCATTCGTATACGCTTTGACAAGTTCAAGCTGTGTGCAACAGTTGTGTAATATAAAGCTTTGTTTATACGCATACACAACACACACAGACACACACAGACACACACACGTGCTATGATTGTTTAACATATTGTTTTGCTGTTATTTTGATATTTATTTTATGTGTGACCGGATTTTTTATTTACTGTAGCAAGAAGATTGTGTAACAATTTGCTAGAGTGTCCTACGACCGATGGGATTTGTTGTTTAATATTCAGACATGTGTGTCTTTCAGTGTGTGACCAGCTCTCCGAGTGGAGGAAAAAATGAAAATTTCTTCTTTAAATGTGAAATTCATAAAAAACCAACAAATATCACATCAAAATTCATTTAGAGAATTAATGCTGTATTTAATGTTTGATTTTCTCTTTGTTTACTCATCATCAAACTTCAATTCGTCACCCGAAAGAACGCTTGTCCATTCGTCTTTTGCCAATTCTCTCAATTCTTATGCGCCCTTATCCATTCCAGTTTATTTTTCTTATGTCAAATATAATGATAATTTTGGCTTTTTAGCAGCAACTCCGCCCTCTTAGTCCCACAGAAAGTCGAAATCTTTTAATAGATGTTATTGGAATAGATGTTTCGCGCGTATCATAGAGAGTTGCTGTAATTTGTGATGACATGGACTCCGTTTACTGGATTCCCTTGCAATGAAGTTATCCGGCAGTTTTGCTGAGGAGTTGGGACTACCAAATTTTCTCTATGTTAATTTTTCCTAGTTTCTTGCTTTCCGGAAAAGGCGTAGTCTCGCCTCAAAACGAAGAAATTTCTTAAAATTTAATGAATATTGGATGATAATCCTTTTGTGTTTGCGTAAAAAATCCTAAAAGATCTAAGGACTTAATTTTATTCCTAATTTTTACTTGTGTTTGGAAGCAACACTTGCACGGTACTGCATATGATATCCGTTCCAAAATCTCAAATCTTAAGACAGAGACATTTTATATATTCAGGTATATGCACACAGACGTATACATTTGCTAAGCTTTTTCTAAGCTGCTTAGCCGTTTTATGATCTAAGTCAATGTAAAGCTTCTCAGCATCTTTGTGGCTCAAAATACTCGCAGCCTTGTTTGCTACTCCAGTATCTAAAGACATAACAAAAAAAGCATTTGAAATATTCACTTGTTGTCTACTTTAGACTGACTTGGACCACACTGCAAATGTGTTAATAGTTCACGCTTAATGTGAAGAAATTCGGAGCAGAGTTACAGTTTTAATATTAAAAGGGTGGATAGCAACTCGAAGAAGTCAGCTGTGAATAGTTTTCATTTGAAGTAAAACACCCAACGGATTTATGTTCTCTGCATGTAATTGAAAACACAACGTAATCTGTCAAATAATTGCCATTTTTTCGTATACAGGCGTCTGCTGCCTAATACGTTTGACTTGTACGGTGCTGTATTTCAACCGTATTATTTGAAACTTTTTATCTTTTTAAGCTTTGATATAACATAAATCAAAAAAATATGTGCCGTGTTGTGTCGAAACCATGCTTTATAAGTACTACGTGAAATGACAGTGTGACTTGCTTCTCATCTAACCAGATTTTCTAGAGTACAACGTCGCTAAGCGTTAGTAAGTCTTAGTAAGACTCTCAAGGCAATATCTAATTCTCTTTCTGTCTTCTTCCCGGTGTCTTTCATTCCTGCTGCATCTGTTTTTATGTTTGTCTTCTGGAAAACTTCTCAAAATTCCATATGATAATTTCATTTTTTAAGAATTCATGTCAGTTTTTATTTAAATTATTTTATGTCCCTCTTCCTTGTGTAGAAATGACAAGAGCGCTTCTCTTCCCTTATTTTCTTATATCTTAACAATGTTGCTTATAATTTATACTTATGAAGATATAGATACTACACTGCGCGTATATCCGTTAAGGCATTGTTATTACCACTAGGTAAGGTTAACCAGGTAGATATGTAATCATGTAAAATGGAATATATTATCATGCTCGAGCATATGTATGTAGTCATCTAATATGTTTGCTTATGCAAATTGCACTTTAAAGAACGCTCTACAGCGTATGTATGTGTTCGTTTATGTAAACGCATTAAAGAGAGAGATACTAACGTAAATACATATACAACTATCACCTACTAACTGAGTGGATAATACAGTCGTTAAATATTTATATTAAAGTCGATTTAAGCTGAATAGTAAATGGTTAGGTAGGTGTAGCGAGCTTAAGAGCTTAAGGATCTAATTCGAAGATGATGGAAGCTCTGCGAGAAGATATTAAAGTTATTTAACATATTAAAATATTAAAATTTCTTCTTCTTTTTTTTTTTTTGCTAATAAAACTTGTTGTTGTTTATTTATTCGCTTTCATTTTTTCGTAGCCAAACGTCCGCCCGTTGAAGAGACCGCATCTTTTCTACAAAGCCTTTTGGCCTCACACGGCCCCAATTACTTGGAAAAGTTATTTGGTAGTAAGGCACGCGATGCATTGTCACCGTTGGGTGGTGTGGAAAAAGTGGCCATAGCTTTAAGTGAATCGCAAACAATTGAAGATTTCGGTGCTGCTTTGCATTTGATGAGGTAAGCACCAGACATAAAATATATATTTGCATAAAAGGTACAAAAGTTTTCATAAAAATTTACGCAGAGTAAAGAGAAAATATGAGAAAGCATTTTCAAACGATAGCATAATTGAAAGTCTGACGTTCGCAAGCGAATGTTGAGATGTGGGGTTCAAGACAATACGGTAAAGTCTCGCATACTGGTCTGCCTGTCATGAAGGCGTTTTTACTAACTTTTCTAAATTCGAAATGCTCGGACTTGTAATCCAATTTTCGTTGCTCCGTTTGGTTCTGTGTCATTGAATTCTGTCCCCACACCGCTCGCTTTAGCGATTAATTAATTAACTTATCAATTTAAAAGAAATGATGATAAAAAAAATAATTAAAATAGAAAAAAACTAAAAATTAATTATAATTAACTACTTCTATTAATTATAATCAACCAATTATAATTGTACGAATGCAATACGATTTGTATAAACTACGTTTACCATTTACCCGCTCAATTACCCATTGTCCGCCATTAATTCTAATCCGCTTCATAGGACGTTTATTAATTTTATTCGTTCATAACTCGTTGTTCGTTAAACTTGTTTGCTTTACTTGTATAGCGAAGGTGCATATAGCCCGGATGCACCGGACGATGCTCTCCGCTATCGAAGAAGGCCAGTATACAAAAGTTCTCTTTCCATTTGTAAAAGAGACCCCTATCGGATACAGATTCTCAATCAAAATACTTATGTCTGTCTGTTCTATCAGTTATCGCACGAGGTATGAAGCTTTCATTAAAACAGTTCAACTAAACCAAGAGATTTCTTCGAGAACTAAATCAAATTATGTCAAGATATATCTGACAAAAGTCCGCCGTCTAGTGATTTGTTTGCGTGTGTGCGTTTGATCAAAACCGTGGGAAATTTTGAAAGGTGTCCAAAAAACTCTGCGCGATGATGACAACTATCCCTTTTTTCAAAATCACTGCTTACGTAATTTATTTACATTTTTATATTTTCATTATACTCTGTACCGCAAGCGGTGTAGGCTTCGTGCCTATGTAACACGTAGATGGGCTTATCATATACAAGTTTGTCTGTTCGCCTGTCTGTCTGTCTATCTGCCCTTCTGTTTGTCCGTCTGTTCGTGCGATGTCTGTTCATGCATTGTGTGTTGTGATTATCCTATAGGTCGCAATTTCCGAGATTTTAATGAAACTTCATACAATGGCATTCTTTGATGCAACGGTACGAGTTTTCTGAACCCTCTCTCACATAGGTATTCCTACGAAAACTGAAGCTTTATTTGGCAATAAGTCCAATATAAATTTGGTCTTGACGTAAAACTTAAGTGTATCATGTTTGAGCTACGTGGGTCTATTTCTTAGACCCCGCTCCATATAAGATGTCTCAGGAATAACAAGCCCTTCAGAAACAGGGTTAATTTTCAGTATCTTATATGATGAAAGTTGGTCCATACTAGAAAGTTAGCAAAGAATTTAACGACAGGGAATTTGCATAAGGCCCCAACACGTACATGGGTCCTTCTACGTAGAGAAATTCTAATTACCATTTCTCTGTTACGGAACCTGGTATGGAAAAATAATAAAATTTTCAGGAAGTAAATTAAATGTGCTATTTTTGGATCATGCGACGTCATGTTTTGCCATGCCACGTCTAATGTAGGGGCTTTCATGAAAGGTATGCCCTCGCCTGAAATAAATGGGTAGTTTTTGGTGCATTCTCGCCAAAACATGTAAATTAATTGCGTTAGGCGAAGTGCTGTACAGTATCTAATGGCCTGTCTCTCCCGACCGTAAGGTCCTTATTTTTTTTGTTAAATATTTAATGAAAACTTAATTGCGAATTAATACAAATAGTTTTTAGTTTAATCTTTTAAAAAAATGCATAAGTTGTGTATAAAAATATTTAATTTTTTTTCAATAAAAACCGAATATGGAGAAGACATAGAAAAATTAGAATTCAAATCCGATACCAAAGTTGAACAGCAAATAGAAAGTAAAAGAAAAATAAAAGTGTCTTCGAAAAGAGTTTTTCGCTTATTCGAACACATTAGCGAGCACCCACAACAACAACAACAACAAGCAGTTGGTGTGAGAAAAAAGAATTTGTAAAATGGATTACATTTTTGCGTTGTGTGCAAATTCATTTCTAGATCCGATTTGGAGCATCTGCGTTCGGTGTTCATGGCGGTGGAGAACGGTGACTTGGGCATGCTGAAGTCTTTGGGCATCAAGGACTCCGAACTGGGTGACGTGAAGTTCTTCTTGGAGAAATTAGTCAATACTGGTTTCTTGGATTGAGTAGCGCCAGATCCGGCTTCTGGATTTTATTATGCCCATGCTCAGCCCATCAATCCCAGTTTTTATTCCTACTTAGGCACACCGTACGACAATTACAATTATTGAAAAAGCAATCCATTAAGAAAACGAGGCTTAAACTTGAAATACTTGTTTGCGCGAAAACTCCCAAAAAATGAAGAAAAAAGCAGAAAAATAAAAAATGCACGCGCAATTTAATTTATTTTATTTTATGTTTAAACCGTAAATGTTATTTTCATATTTAACAAAAGTTAAGTGTGCAGAAAACTACATTTATTTATTTTTTATTTTTATTTCTTCTTCATTTATTTTATATTTATATATGTATTTTATATTTATATTATATGAGTTTTATAATTCTTTTATTTTAATTTTTTCTTCTTTTTTTTATTACTTTCTTTAATTTTATAGTTGAGAATTATCTGCCTTTGCCTGAATTTTTTCAAATTTCTTATGTGTATTAAACGATAGACATTGAAAAAAAGTAAATTATTCTTTAAAATAGTTTTAATAAAATTCAGAGGCAGGATCATCAAGAACAATGAAAACTTAAGCAAAACTGGTTCAACTAATACAGAAAACAAAAAAGAAAAAAAACATAAACTTGGTAAAAAAAAAATTAATTAATAATTGAAAATAAAAAAAATTTAACCCAGAAATAAAAAAAAATGTCTAAAATATATGAAGAAACCAAACGAATTAATCGACTTAACGCAGCTGTGTATCATATATGTTACATTAGGTCATAAACGAGTTTAGAAAATTCCATTTTTCCCCCAACTCTAAGTGTTTCACAATTTCTCCAAATGGTTTTCATTCGTTCAATATATTCCTATTCGCAAGACAAAAAGAAATAACAAAAAAGATAAAGTAAAAAAATAAATTAAAAAAATTTATAATAAATATATTTGTGTCACTATATCCATTTGAAAATAGATATAATTTTTTGAAAAAGTGTTGACAATTAAAACAAACGCAAAAGCAAAAGAAAAAGCCCCGCAGCTATTAATTATATAAAAAACATTTCAAATTAAATATTTATAAATTTTTATAATTATAATATAAAGAAAAAACAAAAAAAAAAAAAAAAAAAGACGATAATTTTAGAGACTTGAAATTATTATAATTTTTTGGTAAAAAAATTAAGAAAATCTTTACACACAATCCCAACAGAAGGAAGGAGGAAAGTATAGCATGCCGTATCTATGATAATTGTTTCAAAACAATTGATAAAAAAAAAGAAAAAAAAAATTATTAAACAAAAAACTCAAAATAAACTAAAGACAAAACTCTTACATATCGCAAAATGTATTTAATCATTATTTATTAGTAGTAAAAGTTCTTCGTCTATAGCTTACGTAAGTTCTGGCAAGTATTTGTTATTTAAAATAAAAATAAAAAAAAAATAAAAAAATGTGAGAAACAGTTGAAACAAATGTTAAATAAGTGAATATATATATGCATAACTATTCTTAGTAAATATCACAATATTTTGCTGAAGAAAAACAAAAAAAAAAAAAAAAAAATCAAATTATATAACAATAATTTAATTTAATTCTATTGAATTTTGCAGTCAATCTGCGTATGGAAATATGGAAAGTGCAGCTGACCCTGACTGGTGGTGAGTAATGGGCATGGTTGGTCTGATTATTTATTCCAACTACCAAAGACTCATTACTCACTGCTAATTGAAGAATAAAAATTTTCCAAACCCAAAAAACATTTTATTTTCGCTTTGTTTAAACAAATTTATTTACGTTCAAATTCATTAAGTTTTAATTTAAATATTTAAGAATTAAATATTTTCATTGTTATTTTCAAGACAAATGTATGCAGCTTTTACCGAATGTTAGGAAGCGGAGAGGGCGAGAGAAAGAGAGAGAAAAAAGGAGATATAGATAGTAGAGAGAACCTCCGTCGGTAGCAACAAAAGATTGGCACGGGATATTTGTGAAAGGTGATTCTAGCTTCTCCATTTCTCCCTTGAGGCTTGATCGTATGTCTGTAATCTATGAAAATTAGAAATTAATGGGGAGTAGTTTTGATCCTACCTTGTTTCACTCAGGCTTAACAATTGTTGCTTAAAAGCGTGTTGCCTGCATAAAGGGTGACTTTATCAGGTGAAATTTATTTCCTTTTCTACTTTTTAATTACTCCTCATGTTTTCTTTATAATTTTTTTATTTATACCTCTATATGTATATATACAGCGGTTAACTGCAAAATTCAATACTTTTACCATAATCCTAACAACAGTTATAGACTTGAAATGAAAGAAAAAGTGAAAACATATCAAAACGAAACATATCAGAGAATTAAGTTAAGAGAAAAATCTTCAAAAACGCCTGGTAATTAGGAACGTGTATATACACGTTAGAAAAAAATTAAAATAAAAATAAAAAAAGCAAAATCCAAAGTACGAAAGAGAAAACAAAACCCAACGCAAAAAACAAAAATCATTAAATAAATTCAAAAAAAAAAAAAAAAGAAGAATACGAACCTATTTAGCAAAAAAAAAAGAGTTATACGTACCTAAGAACAATTTTATTGCATAAGAAGTAAGGAAAAGTAAAAAGTTGAAATTGACAAAAAAAAAAAAAAAACAGCAAAACGTAAGAGAAGTTAAAGCAAACAAACAAAACATATCATGAAATAACTAACATTTATTTATAAATAATTATTGTCTTCTCAATCGTGTAAACAAATTAATTTAAATATATACATGTCTGCAATTTTAGAAAATAATATATATATATAATAATAAATATATACATATATACATCAACACAAAATATGTATATATAAATAAATATACATATATGTATATACATACGTGCAAATACTAACTATTATAGATGTTTTCAAAAATTCGAAGCGAAAAACAGCATAAAAGTAAATAGAAAAACAATACAATATACAATATAACAAAATATATACATAACGGGCAACTGTTTATACAGTTTGATAAATAGAGAAAATTGTTCGATAAATGCTATGAAAAGTTGACATTTACACTGGGAGACAAACCACTTATTATATTGACACCGAAGCAAAATATTAAATATTAAAAGAACACTTTAAAATTTATGATTGTTAGTAAAAAATACCTCCACTTAAACTTAAGTTTTTTATGTTCCACTCTTTTCTTATTTATATTATTCTTCTTTTTGCCGCTTTTCTTAATAAAGAAAACTGAAAATAATTAAATAATTTAGAGAATCCTCACACACTCACATACCCACATACACACACCCACACACACACACACACAAGTGCAGAAGTAAAAGAATTACTTATCGAAATGCGTAATTTTTCTTCAACATTACTTCCTTACTCTACAACCACGATCCCATTCACGAAACGTAATCAAGGTTTCATTACTCTTTCAATTCGGTAAATAATTTACTTAAACGCTCAGTTTTTTATTTTTCAATTTCAAACAATTTTCAAGTTCCATTTTGTTCCAGTTAGTGTCTTTATTTGAAATTTTCTAAAGCGCTGACCCCTTGAGCAAACACATATATCATCACTTGTCGATAGCACCATCACCTGCTAACAAAGTGTATGTACGTGTGTGATTGCTATGTAAAGAAAATTTTAAATCAAACGCACTACAATTAATTTGTGTTTATTTTCCACGACCAATATCGAAAGCTTTTGCAAATCCTTTGCGACCTTTTCATTCTTTACGCTAAGTCACGCTCAAATCTCACTATAGTAGAGTTTATCTTGGTCGCCATAGTGAGTGAGTCAGTCGGTGAAGACACAACTCTTACCGGTTGTATACGCATCCACTAGGCTGCGATCATCACCTTCCTATTTCTTTCTCTTTCCTCACTTCTTTCCTACCGACACCGCGTTACGCGAACTGGAGACATCCCCCAACTGATCGGTCCTATCAAACAAAACGAACACAGTTGATTCTGTGTATCATTTCGGGAGCATGGCAGTGGCGTAATCATTTAAATCTTCAAACGTTTTACTAAATGAAAAGAGACCTTATGAACAGCTCTTATGAAAAGGTCTTCACAAAAGGCATTGGAATTAAATAGCGATGTTTTTGTTCACTTTTTCCATTGAAAAATTACATAAACATTTATTAGCTTTTTTATAATTTATTTATTTATTTATTTATTTTTTTCTTTTTAAAGCAAGTCGTGGATATTTATGTGTTATGCAAAAAGTTACAGAAGAGTAATAAAAAATTCTATATTTATATTAATTATTTACATCTAAATATTATGCAGAAAATTAGTAAAAGCAAACAACAAATTATTTATAGTGACATTCATAATTAAACAATTTCTTTTATCTGGTGTATACTGTGAAAGTAAATAAAAATAAAATTAAAAAATTTAAAACTTTTGTATTGAAATTTATTTGGAATTTAGTTTCCGAAGCGCTCTGCTACCCTGCCACCCGCGCTCTATACTAAAAGCAGTTGCTCAAAGGCCTTTGAAAGCCATTAATACGTCCCTGGTTGTTGATCTCGAAAGAAAGTGTTGTTATTAGAAATGTTAACTACTAAGATTACTCTTCGGTGTTGCCCCTTGGTGTCAACCATTACTTATCTCCTACGCTTTTCCACGCGTCTCAAAGTTAGGCGCTTCGACCAAAACTTCCCTTCACTTTTCGATATAAACATCATTACCGGATTGGAGTCACACATTGTAAAAATGGTTATTAAAGCTTTTAAAGAAAATAAATTCATTATAAATTTGCTCATCGTTATCGTCATAGCCATTATTTGTGGTCCAATAAATGCAAATGACTTCAGAAAATGTGACCTTCTCATAAAGGCATTGCATAATGAGAATGATAAGTGCCCCTGGCTTATCATTAAAAAAAAAGTCAGAAAATTATATTTGTTTAAGGCCGACTTTTTTATACCCATCATCTTCATCCCAAAAAGAGTGGCAAAAAAGAGAAAAAAACAACGAAATTTCAATAAAATCGTGGTAGCCATCGTCTATATATCCCTTTTTCATGCAAATGCTTTGAGAGATCTTTTGTAATTTTTTTCTTTGTTTTTTAATGCGACTCTGGTCTTATTGGCGTTTGCCGGATCAGTAAATATTAAGCCCGAAATATCTCCATTTTTTTCTCTTAAAAACAGAGAACTGAGTGTGTTTTTTGACCAATGTGACCAAAAAGTT